AGTGTTGGCATGCGCGCGCGACGACGCGCGCGCGTGCACAGCGCCCCTCTATTGTGCGCATGATTAGTGAACACTGGTTCTTGATATACGAGCGCGCACATCACATCTTCTACCGATGATGAGAGGGGAGGGGGAACTCCGGCCTGCCTGGGATGGTATGGGTTACTGACTTAGTGCCTTGGATGGGTGGTTGGGGAAGAAACATGGAAAGTGCCATGCGAAAAAATGGGCCAGCAACCCCGACGGGGGGGTGGGCCCGACTGCTCTTCTGGAAAGCAGGACTCATGTTGTGCAACTCGCGGTTTGAAAGCATGAAGAAGTTACACAATTGTTCGTAGTGAATTGTCAACCCTACTGCCCGCGCATTCCCCTCGCCCGCCCGCTCGCAACTTGGCTTGCAACGCTAGTGCGGCAGCGATTGCAATTGCTGCTCGGGGTGGATGGCGCTTCGCCGAAGGCGCGCTGGCGCGCGCAAGCTCGCGCGCAGGGCGGCTGGCCAATCTGGCGCGACCGACGCGGCCGCGATGGCGCGGACCACTGGGGACTCCCAGCGCGCGTCGCAGGCGACGCTGACGAGCGGGCACTTCAGCGCGAGTCGGTGACTCGGGCAGGCGCTGTATCATGGCGATGTCGACGACGGCTGGTGCGATGATGGTTGTGGCGACGTTGGCGGCGACGATGGCACTGGCGACGGCGGCGCCACAGACAGACGGCGCCGCGGCTGCAAGCCGATGACGATGATCGCGTCCACGTGTACGCGGTGAAAATGTTGGAGGGAATTCGAAGCGCGCGCGCGGCCGACGGGCGCGAGTGGCCCGCGCGGCACTATTTGCCAGGGGTCGCGGCTCCCCCCCCCCCCCCCCCCCCCCTGCAAACGCGCAAGAGCGCTTGAATGATTTCGAGATGCGCGCGCGGGGGGCCCGTTCAGCCGCGCGCGATGAGAAAGGTCGAGCCATGCCATTACCGAACTTGAGCATCTTCCTCGCGCGACTGGTGGGGTGCCTCTGTGTCGCCGCCTTCCTCGCCAGCGCGCCAATGGACTCCCGCTGCTTCGCCTCCGGCACTCCGGCACTCCGGCACTCCGGCTCCGACGCGGGCCGCGGTCGCGCGCGCCGCCGCATGTGGTGGCCCACGCCTGCTGGCAATTCGATTGGCGCTGTCCTTGCTGGAACCGACCCTGGCGAGCTCATCGTTGACGACCGGCCCGATGCCCGCGGCAGACGACCTGGCGTCAACCATTGAAACAACCGCATGATCGTTTGTCGCGCCCTTGCTGCGCGACGCGGCTCTGAAGGAGTTGCCCTCGATGTAGGATGGGGGCGATATGGCAGGCTGCCGCGCGAGCAGGTGGCCGCGCTCCCTGACTGGCAACGCTTCTACAGGGATGTCGCGCGCTGCGCCGCCTGCGTGACGGCCGTGTTCTGCGCGCGACGCTCTCTCGGTGCGATGGCCAGCCGCTCAAAACAAATGCGGGGCGCGACGCGCATTGCGCGCTGGCGCGAGGAAGCCGCGGGGAGTTCGGAAAGAAACAAATCGAACTTTGAACGGGGGCGCCGCAAGTGGATGCCCTCTGAATCCGGCCGCGGCCAGCGCGCGCGCGCCAGCGTCGACCGCGGTTTATGCCCTCGCAGCCGCGCGCGATCCGCCGACGAACGCCCTTTCGCTGCTCCCGGGCAGGGTGGGTCCACGCAAGGTCTGCGACGTCTCTCATCACTGGCCGCCGCAGGCTCTGCCGCGCGAGGTAGACCCACGCCCGCGGCGCAACCGAGCGCCGAGCAGGGCGAAAAGAAAGCTTTGGGGGTCATGCGGGGTGGTCATCTAATCCAGCTGCCACGGCAACGGCCCGTTCGCCTCGCTTGCCGCGAACAGGTCCGCGAGTGCGGCGCGCGCCTCGTCATCGTCTTGCAAAAGCGAGGCGCCTTGGGCGAGCGATGTCTGGGGCCGCCGTCGCCGTCGCAGGGGGCGCCCAGGCCGCGGCGCGCCTGCCCGGCGGGCACCTCGAGTGGGGCGCGTCGATCAAGGGGCCGCGCGTCGGCGGACCGGGCGCTGCGCGGCCCGCGGTAAACTGCGACGTCGCGCTCGACCGGGTCACGGGGGCGCGCCGGCCACTTGCCGGCGACGTCGGCGACCGCGGAAACAGCGACCCCGCGAAGTTTCGTTGCGCGGTGAAGAATCCGAACAGCCCGCCATCGCGATGCCGCGCCATTCCTCGCGACGTTCAAGCTCGTCTCGGTCGCCGCCGCCGCCGCTGGCCAGCTCTGCGTCGCCCGCGATGCCCCGGGGGAGATATTGGCACCCCTGCTCGCGACTGACACCAGGCACAAGCTGCCTCGCCTGAGGCGCCGACGCTTCGAGGCGCGCCGAGAATCCGAGATGCGGGAACTGAGCCGCGTCGACGGCCGCCGTCAGCTCCGGCGGCCTGACTCGGCGCGCAAACGTCGCGCGTTCCCTTCTATCACTGAACGGCGCTTCCAGCCGCCAACAGCAGCCCGCGCGCCGCTCTGGTCTCTCGCGCCAGCGGGCCCCCCACCGCCGCTGCTGGACGCGCTGCCCGCTGCCGCGGGGCGAGCGGGCGGGCGGGGCGGGGCGGGGGCGCGGGTCGGAGCCGAAGATTTTCTGCGCGCTGCATCTGGGCGCCTCCGCGCACGCGAGCCGCTGAAGGTGCGCGGCATCTCCGCTGGGCGCCGGCCCCGCTGGCTCGATTGCCCCGCCTGGCCCGCGCGTGATCAATGCCAGCGCAGCCGAAAGCCCTCGCAGCAACAGTGTTCAACCCGAAATAATCGACCTCCGAGCTGTCGCTTCCCTCTCTGGACGGGAGGGCCTTCGGCGCCGCGAGCTGACGGCCGCGCGTCGCAGGGGGGGGGGGCTGGGGGCTCTGCCCCGCTGGGGGCTGGGGGCTGGCGCGCCATGTCCCAGTCGCCGCCCGCTACCGCTGCCGATTGACCTGGGAAGCTTCATGCCCTTTGCGGCGGCCTCCAGCGCCCTGACCATCGGAAATATGCGCGCGTTGAACGCGCGCGACGGGGGCTTCCACTGAGCAGCGTTTGCTGCGCCATGCTGGACTGCATGCGCATGGACTTCGTGCTTGCCAGCCTGGGGCCCCCGAAGACCGAAAACAGCGCGCGCTGCCTTGGCCGCTCCTGCCGACGGGCTAGCGCCTGCCGTCGGCGTACTCGGCGAGCGCACAACTTTCCAACCACGATTGTATCCTGCGCCATCCACACCTCAGCGCGCGCGCCGACGTGTCCGACCCCCTAAAGTAGAACAGCACTTGCAGTTTCGTCAGCATTGACTTCCCACCGCCGCAAGCACTGCGCGAGTCGACCGCGAACTTCACTGCGACAGTCGGCTCCACCACGCCTGCTCGGGCAAGGCCTCGAGAAAGTAGTCCGCGAACGACTGATCATCTGTTGCCCTCGCCGCTGCGGCCTGGGGGCCGACTCAGCCAAGAGCGAATCGCAGGCAGAAAAGATACCTGCCTATGCTTCCACTTGTTGCCTCGTACATCCGCTTGCCATCCAGCTCCAAGAACCTAGGCACGGCGCCGGCACCGCCGCCGCTGCTGCCGCCTCATCCTCCAGCAAAATGCCGGGCATCTGCACCAACAACAAAGCCGTCATCAACGCGAACACCGCCGCCAACCGTGAGCTTCGCTACCGCGAGCTCCCGCATATTGCTCCACTCCATATTCTTACCGAAGGGTCGTAAACCTGGATGGTCCTTGACCTCCTCCCCGCTAACCTCATGATCGACGCCGGCGCTCGCAGCTGCGTTGGAAGTAGACCCATGCCCACCCACTGCCGCCGACGTCTTCTCGAAGAGAACCGACACGTTCTCAATTTCCTCTTTGGTGGTCTCGGTGCCCGCCGTGCGGATCTCGATTCTTTTGGCCACCTCCTCGTATTGCCGCTCCTTCTCCGCGAGCTTGCTCTCCTTTCAGTACGGGACCTGCTTAGAGTTCTGCGTGTACTGGTTAGCTTCTCGATGGGCGTCCTGGGGACTGAGAAGAGATGGCCGATTCTCGCGCACCTGGTCGCGCTCCTGCTGGATCGGTGTCAGCAGGGACCTGTTGACCTCGGTGTCTGGCAGCTGTCGCAAAACTCCCTCGAACTCAGCCGCACGCGTGACCAACCTGGCATGCTCTGCGTTGCTGGCGCCACCGATATTTTCCTCAGCGGCGGCAGTGGCAGAGCTGGGCGGCTGCCTCCACCATGGCGGTGGCGGTGTGGGTCCTGAGCTGGCCGCCTTCGGAAGGGGGTGGACCAAAGCCACGTCTGGGACTGCTTTCGGGAACTCTTGAATCTGTTTCTGCATGCCGCCACTCGACTGCTGATACCGTTGCCGAAGAGCGTGTTCCGCCGTCTCGTCTGCATTATTTCGGGTTGCTGCGACAACGCGCTGGGGCGCGGACAGTCCGCACGGACACACGATAAGGAGGAGGAGGAGGAGGAGGAGGAGGAGGAGGAGGAGGAGGAGGAGGATGAATAGGAGGAGGAAGGGTAGGAGGAGGAAGGGAGGAGGAAGGGAGGAGGAGGAGGAGGAGGAGGAGGAGGAGGAGGAGGGGGAGGGGGAGGAGGTGGTTGTGGAGGAGGAGGGGGAGGATGAAGATAAGGAGCAGAAGGAGGACGATGAGGAGGAGCAGGAGGAGGAAGAGAAGCATGAGGAGGAGGGGGACGAGGGGAAGGGGGAGGAGGCGGATGAGGAGAATGAGCAGAAGGAGGAGGAGGAAGAGAAAACGCCCAATTCTCTGACCGTCCGCTCAGCCCGCAGGACCCGTGCGGCTGCCTGGGGCCGCGCGGCGCAGGCGGCTCCGGCGCCAACGGCGCCATGCTGCACTCGACCCGCACGACTGCCGCCCCCAGGACCTCACAGGGTGAAGGACTCTGGCCCACCCGCAGCTATGGCGGGCCAGCTGCTTTCACAACTCCGGATGCGAGCTGCGCGCAAGCGGTATCCACGTGGATCGCCATGCAGCTCAGAACCATGAGCCAAAATGCCTACGGTCAGCAAGAGGAGGAGGAGGAGAGAGAGGGATTCCAGGGATTCCGCCATCACGTAGTGATAAAGACAAGCAAGCCTCTTATCGGTGAGCACGCACGGCACATGCGCACGCACACGCACACACACACACAAGAGACAAGACAGAACTCAGATGCAACAAAGTGTTCACCATATTTCATGTCCCTCCACAAAGAAGCAAAAGAGCTGGAGAAACGTGATGCATCAACAGTGTGTTCACCCTGTATCAGAAAGACCATCGCCCTGCACCTGTGATCTCCCGCCTGCTACAACAAGCAATACACATGACAGAACCGAGACTAACTGACCAAGACTTCACTGAATAAGCACCCACGCAAGAGCTGACATATAACTGACAAACACACCAAAACCTTGAAAAGCACATTGCATTGCCACCCAATCGCCGTGTCGGAAGCCGAGACAACAATGCCAGACACAATTTGATATGCAAGCCAGTGGCCTCAACAAAATGCGAGGCGAAAATACAAATGCAGCGCATACGACAAATCCCACAACATATTGCAGCCTACTGCTGTGGACACTCGTTGTTAGGCCCAGACGATAAGCTCGGAGCAGACGTGGGTGACTGACCATGCTGCGCCGTCATCGCATTGAGGCCAGCGAGTACGTCTTCGGAGAACCTGACCGCGCCTCCATCCCTCGGGACAGGTGGGCTTTGCCGAAGACCTCCTGCAGTGGCCGCACGGCGAAAAGGGGGACCCTGCGAACTCTGGCTCAACGACTCCGTGGCGACGAGCCTCGACTGCACGGCCGCACGCCCGACCTCCGTCGCGTCCCTCGCCGCGCTGAGCGCCGCGTCCGCCGCCTGCGCATGCACCGACCCGCCGCCCTCGCCCAGGGAAGCCACCCCCCGCAGGGGCCCTGATGGGCCTGGAGGCGCGGCGGGTTGCGCCGCTCCGTCTGGAGAGTCTGCTGCCTGGATGCCACGGTCAGCCGAGCCCGAGGCGACTGCAGCTTGCACGCCCTCCAAGACCTGGTTCGGCGACTCCTTCACGGCCTCCCCCGCCTCCTCCTGCGAGCTGGCCATGGGCGCCTGGAGCGCTGCAGCGAGAGCGGCACACAGGCGAGTGGGCGCCACTCCCCGATGCGCTTGCAGCGCCGCGAAGGCGTCCAGCAGGCGACCTACCGCGCGGCCCTCGGCCCGCCGGTATTGTGCCCGTCGCTCGGCAGCCGAGCGGTTTGGCCGCGTGCGCCTCGGCGTCGCAGCAGCCGGCACCGGCCCGGACATGGGGGAGAGGCTGCGGAGCGGGAGCTCCAGTGGTGCTTGCTCGGGGTTCGAGCCCAACAGGCTCGAGCCGAGCTGGCACTTAGAGGAGGAGGAGGAGGAGGAGGAGGAGGAGGAGGAGGAGGAGGAGGAGTAGGAGGAGAAGTAGGAGGAGGATGAGGAGGAAGAGGAGGACGAAGAGGAGAAGGAGGACGAAGAGGAAGACGAAGATCGGGGAGGAGGCTCGAGGATCGAGGAGGACCGACGATCGAGGAGGATCGAGGATCGAGGAGGATCGAAAACTAAGGACCGACGAAGATCGAGGAGGAAATGTTTGCTGTGTGCAGCTCCAGAAGCCCCGACTCCTTCCCTGGGGGTACTTGTTCGACCTGGATCCGTCTTCGATGGCCCCTGGGCCCGATCACAAGAGGCCGGATTCGAAGAGACACGCCCGGATCGAACAATCAGACCGTCGAGAAAGAAGCATCGAGAACGAGGAGGCTCGACGAGGTGTGGAAGGCTCCCCGTCGAAGAGCGCATCCACGGCCTCCTCCGACACGTGGCGGTGGGCCTCCGCGGGGGGGTGGGGAAGCCAAAAGGGTACCGATACCGACACTCCCCAGGCCCTCTCGTGGGGTGCGTTCTGACGAAAATTTCGAGGCGAATCTAGCGGTGGCGACGAGGGTCTCCCAGGAGGCCACCCCAAAAATGGAATAGAGCAGAGGGTAGCCCTTTTGCTCCCCCTCCTCCTCCTCCTCCTCCTCCTCCTCCTCCTCCTCCTCCTCCCTTCCTCCTCCCTTCCTCCTCCCTTCCTCCTCCCTTCCTCCTCCCTTCCTCCTCCCGTCCTCCATCCTTCCTCCTCCCTTCCTCCTCCCTTCCTCCTCCCTTCCTCCTCCCTTCCTCCTCCCTTCCTCCTCCCTTCCTCCTCCCTTCCTCCTCCCTTCCTCCTCCCTTCCTCCTCCCTTCCTCCTCCCTTCCTCCTCCCTTCCTCCTCCCTTCCTCCTCCCTTCC